GTGCTTAGCTCCATCCCCAGTCCATTTTACTTTATTTTATTTTATTTTATTGAGACAGGCACTTGCTATGTAGTTCACCTGGCCTTGAACTCACTGTGTAGCCCAGGCTGACCTCAGACTCACAGCAATCCTCCTGCCTCAGCCTCCCGAGTGCTGGGATCACAGGTGTGCACCACCACGCCCGGCTTTTGAGTGTCACCTTGAAATTTCTTTGGGTTCCCCCTCTCTGAGCTTCAGTGTCCCTTGCTGGAATCAGAAGGCGTGGACTCTGCTGTGTGCTGAGGACACAGGATCTCTGAGCACCCCCATCCTCTGAGTTGCTTAGGTCAACAGACTTCAGGTCAGCAGCTAGGTGCCTCAGTATCTGTGGCCCCCGCCGTCGTTGGGCTCCATGGGACCAGCGCAGTCCTCCCCACACCGCCAGAGGGCGCTGTGAGCACTCAGTCAGGTCCTCCTTCCTCTGCCCTCAGCCCTCCACCGCTCCCACCTCCCTGGGCCAAAGCCCAAGACCTTCTGCGGCACCAGGGCCCTGCATGACCGGCCCATCCCCCGCTCCCCTACTTTCTCTCTGCCCCTCCTCCCTCTGTGCCAGCCACAGCCTCCTGGCTCCATCCTGCGCCGGGGCCTTTGCACATGCCATGCCCCCTGCCTAGATTGCTTTTCCTTAGACACCACCATAGCTCTCTCCTTCACCAGCTTTAAATCTTTGTTCAGATGGTCACCTTTCTACTGTGGCCTTCCAGGACCACCCTGTGAAAACTGTAAACCCGTCCTCGCAGTGTTTGTCACTCCCTCATCCCCCTTTGCTCTTTTTCATAGCACCTCTGACTTCTGCACGGTTACATATTTACTCATTTACTCTTGGTTTCTCCCCTTTTGGAAACTGTGAGATTGGTGATTTTTGCCTGTTTCATCCACTTCTGCATCCTCTATTTAGACCCGAGTGTGGCTCATACTATGTGTTCAATTTCACAAGGACAGAAGTTCAGTTTGGGGAGAGGGGAGAGGCCCAGAGGCCCAGAGGTGGGTGGAGGTAATGGGCATACACCGGGTGAATGTGCCGAATGTCTTTGCACTTCAATTTTTTTTTTTTTTTTTGAGTCAGGATCTCGCTATGCAGTTGAGGCTGGCTTTGAACTCCCTATGTAACCCAGGCTGGCCTCAAGCTCATAGAAATCTTCCTGCCTCAGCCTCCCAAGTGCTGGGATTACAGGTGTGGGCCACCATACCTGGCTCTGTTCTTCAATATAGTAGCAAAATTTATGTCATGTATATTTTACCACAATAAAAAATATTAAAAAATTATTTCTGTGATGACTGTAATTTTTTTTTTTTTTTT